TTATGCAAGGGTACGGAGCGAAGATGGGAGGAAAGTTGTACAATTTCTAACAGTACCTCCTAACCATGAACGGAATCGAGATAGATTGAGGGAGAAACCATTGCCAAAGATTGTTGAAGGATTTAAGGATTTTAGGAACGTGCGATTATAAAGCGAGGTTATGGAGGTATAAAAGAGGAGGTACTCTCGTGAGATGAAGGTGCCTTTGATGCGAGTTTTATTGGTATTTTGGAGAATGGAAATATTATATATAAGAAAATTGATGATTTTAAAAGAAAAGAAAGAAAAAGATTATATAATATTGAAAGAGAATTACGCAAGTTAGGTACATTGTAAGATGATGAGAGGATTTTAGGTGTTTATGAAAAAAACGGACTGGAAGATTCATTGGAATTGATTACATGTATTGGGTTAGGAGATAATGATAAGATTGTTGAGATTCATTCAAGAGAGGTTTATACCATACTTGAATCTTTTCAAGCACCAGAAGTCATAGTAGAGACGAGATATAAAACGGCAGATAAGAAGGTAAAGCCTATTGCCGGACCATTACGAGAAGATTCTAAGGAACAAATGGGAGAAGCATCAAAAGAAGTAAGTTTAAGAGATCCAATGAGTATTGGACATCAGTTTACTGAAGAGACTTTTGAAGAATTGAAGATTGGTTCTGATGGTTCTTTATTGTCGGAGGAAATTACTTGCTTCAAAAAGATGTTGGCTAAACAAGGTAGATCGTTTGCCTTCGAATCTTATGAAATTGAGTGTGTGGATCCAAATATTATAACACCTATAGTTATCTTCACTGTATCGCATGTACCTTGGAATCTAAGACCGATTCGAGTACCGAGGGTACATTTACCTAAATTGGTGGAAGTATTAAAAGAAAAGATGAAGATGAAAATGTTGGAACCCTCATTTGTGCTATATTCTAGTCGATGGTTTACGGTACCTAAGAAGAATGGGTCACTACGTTTTATTCAAGATATGCAACCAGTGAATGTAGTAACTGTTAGGAATGTAGGAATTGGACTTATTGTGGATGAATTCGCTGAGGCGTTTGTAGGAAGGGCGATCTATTCAATGGATGACTTGTATTCAGGTTATGATCAATTTCAACTTATCGACGGAAGTAGAGATATGATGATGATAAAGATACCACTTGGATTGGTTAGAATGTGCACTCTTCCTCAAGGCGCGACCAACTCAATTGCGTATATGATGAATGGGATGAATAAGGTATTGAGAGATTTTATTCCGGAGAAGACTATGCCTTTTCTGGATGATGTTCCTAGAAAAGGGTGTAGAGAAGGAGACAAGGATGAAACTTTAGATAAGAGGGGGTGTCGCAAATATGTTGTTGATCATATACAAGATTGTGAAAAGATTTTAACTCAGCTTAGAGAAGTTCATCTTATATTATCGGGTATGAAGTCCGTATTTGGAGTACAAGAGGTTGTGATTGTTGGACATTTATGTGGATCTTACAGAAGAAAACCAGATCCGACTAAAGTTGATGCAATTGGAAGAATGAAAGAGAATTGTGATTCTTTAACAAAGGTTTGCAGGTTTTTGGGTGCATGTGTATTTTATCGAATCTGGATCTCTCATTATGCTCACATAGCAGATCCATTATATGAACTGTTACGCAACGGCTATCGATTTAAATGGGAAGAAAGGCATATTCAGGCAATGCAAAGATTGAAGAAATTATTGATGTCACCTCCAATATTCAGGAAGGTTGATTATAAATGCAATACACCAGTGATTCTTACTGTGGATGCTAGTCCAATTGCCATTGGATGGACTGTGGGTCAAGATGACTCAAATGGGAATAGATTTGCAGTTCGATTTGGAGCTAAAGTTTTAAGTATTCATCAGCGTGCATATTCGCAAGTCAAAAGAGAACTTTGGGAAGTTGTTTCGGCTATGAAAGCTGAAAAGGACTATTTGATTGGGGCAGTAGTAGTAATTGAAACAGATTGCTTACCATTGCTCGGAATGATTACTAACTGTTCAATGCCAGATATTGCATTGTTGAGATAGATTGCTTATATTAAGTCACTAAATCCAGAAATTAAGTATGTTACTAGGAAGAACAATTTAGTAGCAGACATGCTATCTCGAGCAAGAGGAGAGAGGAGAGGGTTCAGAGATTTGGGATTTAAGGAGGTTAAGAAAAAGGGAGGATTGAAGATTTTTGGATAGGGGTCAGAAAAGGGACTTATGGTGATCAATGCTGAAAGGTCGATGTGTTGTACTAGTGAATCGGGGTTTTAATGAAGTGGATGTGATTATTCTTGATTGTTTTGTGAAATCGAAGTTACGTCTGTGCTTGAAGAATTAAAAGGGTGTTTATAGGATTGAGTATGCGGAGTGAATGAAAATTTTTGGATTAATCTAACAAGAGAGTCAGTGGATACAAGGTCATGAGTATAAAGCGGTATCGGAGATTAGCAGATTGGATTATTCGGGGTTCTCTGTAATGTCTAGAGATCTACCGGCTGGAACAAAAAAAATTTCGGCAAGCAGTCGAAGGACATCCGTATAGATTTACAGTATATTCTTGTAATCGTTTATATTCCAATAGTCAAAAATCAATAGATTGCTCGAATATTAGTGAATCTTCATACTAACTCCTACAGCCAGACGCTTGATGCATTCTTGAGTAGGAAAGCACCTAATACGACAACGTGGCGACGTTCTATAGGGCCTCCAATATGTGTTGACTTTGTAGGACACATACCTTGACTTACAAGGCAAGTTTTTCTATGTGTGGGCCACATATTTAGCTTGATCTTCAAGCTAACAACATGTGTGGTACATGGCCAACTTGTTGACCACGTTTCTAATCCAAAAAGTCAATTAAAGACACCTATGAAGTTAAAGCAGCGTCTATGAAGCTTTTAGGAAGCTTCTATATTAAATACTATAGAATTAACTTTCTTTTACCTACTTATATTTGTAATTACTAGCTTACATGAGTATGTCTATGACACCAACTATAAATCCAGCTCAAGATCCTAAACCATAGATTGTTGTCCAACTGCAAAATTGCAAGGATAGAAGAAATAAACCAATACTATAATAACAATTGCACCACAAAGAGCATCAACTATGGACTGTGACATTGTAATTTGTCATGGCCATACCAAACACAAGCAAGCAAGATTGATAAAAAATAGTCAAGCCGCAACACATTTAAACTACATCCAATGGCCGCTTGGAACCTAAAAAATTTAGGAATATTATCCAACAACCTTTATCTTTCATTCTCCTGTTTAGCTATACATGAGCTTAACTTCATTCTAGTGGATTTTTATGTTCTTTGTTACTACTCTTTTAATATTATCATGTCTTCAAGAATATCTTCTTGTGGTTGTTAGATATAAATGAAGCTTTCCCGCCCAAATATACTTACATCTACATATGAGGATCACATTCCTTGATAACTTGATGCAAAAGTGGTATTTTGAACTATCTAAATGGTGCAATTGGTAGATATCCTTAGTTTGGTTATAATCTTTTATTATTTTTTTATTTTAATCTCCTTTCTAATTATTCTACTTTTTATTAAGAATCTCACTAAATAAATAATACCACTACTTAAAAGTTTTAATTTTTATTTAGCTATATTTATAGGAATGAAATAATAAACTATAAAATTATAAAATACACTACAAAAATATAATTGTTCTAGAATTTGTAAAAGAATTCCTACAAGGATTTATATTCTTACAATTAATACTACTTATCTATTTATCTAAAACAATTCTTACAAACTTCACCTAAAAATTATAATTTTTTACATTATAAGTATAATTTTTATTTTAAAACTACAAGGGGATCAATTTGATGATTTACAAGCCACAATCTCCACAATATATAAGTTAAGATAACAACATTAAAGGCTACATTAAAAAAATAAAAGATAGAAACTAGGCAAATTCAAAGAGAATTTGAAAATGCTTGAGATTAACTTTGAAAGAGCAAAGAAGAGAATCAAAGATTCAAAGAAGAGTTGAGGCAAGATAGCATACAAGTACATGAACATCTAAATTCTCACATCTTAAGAATTGTATGATATTTCTTTTATTTTTTTACATAAGGATTATTTGTTTAATCACTATAGCTCTTTTATAATTATCTTTTGTCTTTTAGTAGTTGTGGCTTTTATGTGAGTATCAAAATTTGAGTTCAATTTTATTGTTAAGATTAAGTTATGTGAATCCGAATAGTAAATTTTAATTAGAGGATTAATTGAAAACATAATTTTAAATCATTTATTTATAAAAATATTAAAATTAGTAATTTTTCATTATTTGATAATTTATTAGTATTTATAAGTATTTAAAATTTATAAGTCTTATTAAAAGAAGAGTTATAAGAATAGAATCTTAGTAATTCTTAAAAGTAATTATTTCAATTAATTTAGTAATTTTACTTATTATTAATTAACAATATTTAATTATTAAGATAAATATCTATAATGGCATTTTAGCTACTTATTTTACTTATAATAAATAAATCTTATAAATGATACTTAATAGTTAAAAGAAGCATGAGAAAGAAATTCATGTTCTTTTACTTATTTATATCAAAAATTTAAAAAAATATTTGATTGAAATTTATTTTATTACTATAAGAATTTACTAAGATATAAAAATATAGGTTCAAATTGATATTAGCATTTTAGAAAAATTATTAAAATTTTCAGAATTTATTAAGAAATTATTTTAAAATAATTTAGAAGTTTTTAGGATGTTTTAGGGAAAATTTTAAAACTTTAATAAAATAAAATTTTACTACTTTGGAAGCTATTATGTAAAAATGAAGCAATACTTAAAGACCTTGCAAGGTTTATAGATTAATTGGATGCTTTTAAATACTATAGTAAAGTTAACTATATATATATATATATATATATATATATAAATCACAAGATGGTTTAAATTAAAAATCTGAAATCTACATAGTGTTCTCTATTAACCTACCGCTAACATACTGTTGTTGGAGTGAATCCCAATTGCAGCCCCCCCTCTGCACCTTTCTCGCACATCCCCAACACTCCCAATGATCGCCTCCGCTATGGCATACGCTTCTACTGCTGCCCTGCACTCCTGCTTCCTACCTGCCTTCCCCTTGCAGCCCCAGGTATGTCCCTGCCCCAGAGTTCCCTACTCCCTTCTCTATTCTGCATCGCGTTCTTCTTGCTTATCGTCGTGGGGTAGATTGCAGATCTTCCTCTTCGTCATTCTCCTCATCCATGGGCTTCCATTGTGGCACGCCGCCAATTTCTTCTCGGATTTCCACCGCTCGCCATTTCCATCATATTCCCTGCTCCATCTTCTCACGCTTCCCCTCAGCCCATTTTCCCAGCTCCGCCCAATTCCTTCCTGCGCTCCCTAGGTATCGGCGATGCTGATATATACTACCCCAGGTATACCTGCCTCAAGTCCTTTCCCTCCCACCTTGTGTGTTCTCTTCTCAACTCTTTTGCAAACTCTTACTCTGCTGGCGCTATGCTGAATTTCACTCTGGTTGCTACGCTTTACAGTTTCTTCGAGGGAACTTGGAATTGTTTTTCTACACTTATTGCTGTTGAAACACCCCAGGTACCTTCTTTCTCACATATCTTTCATTTGGAGGTCAACGTTCCATTTCGAATTGTATCCTCCACGGCTTTACTCTGACAAGATGGCAAACTAGAGTTGTGTAGGGTGAAGACAAAGCAGATCGGAAGAGCTTGGAGTACTCGCGCAAGCAACTAGGTTACACGGTATTATGGCTTGTTTTCTGAAGTGCGAGATGTTTGCATTCATCATTATGAATTGTGATGATTGTTTTTAGAGTGCTTTTTGTTAACTTATTGTAACCACTTCAAAATCGGTATTTCTGAACTTGTCAACTTACATTCCTACTTAGTATTGTGTAAAACTTGGGCACTACTGAATGTAAAACGTTTTTGATCGTGGGGTGTTCTGGAATGGAGATCACCAGGTGGAGTACAAGGCCCGCTTTGTTGTGTTTCAAGGAAATGTTATTGGTGATAGGAACTTTACTACTTCCGTGAGTCTTCTGTCTTCTTGCTCCTGGATTGACGTTTCCACACGTCATAAACATCTTTTTAGTGGAACGAATGAGGTTCAGTCGGTCATCAAGAAGCATGCATTCACACTGGATTAAGGCACTTCGTTACTTTTTTTTTAATGTAAATGCCAGAGCTTTGTTTTAATGTGTTTCGCCTCCTAGTATGCCCGAATATTGCTACGTAATTTTGATCCCAATTGTCTTGGTGATGTAAATCTAACTGAATTTACTTTGGTGTTGTGGAGATTGGTGACTGACTAAGCATGCTCTTATCCTCATGCGGCCAGTCTCTCGTGGAGTCTACAATGGGGAAGGATGTAATAAAGGGATCCTCATGGGATCCGGAAAAGCCTAACCGGTTGTCCCTCATGATTCGTGGTGGAGTGAAGGTAAGATGCGTATTTTGATATGTTACAAACCATTTGTGTGTAAAGTGGACCGTTGTAAATGCGTTTGTTCCGAGCTCTCAACACACAGTTTGTAGCATTAAAACTTCAAATCCCTTTGAAGTGGACAAGCTCACTGACTTTACGTAGTGACTTGTGGACATGCAACTGTTTCTTGTAGTTATCTATTAAAGAGTTCACCAAGTTGTTCCACTGTTAAATTGCAGGTGGAGAACCTTGTCACCAAGCGGTCTGCAGAAGTCACAGGGCCAGGTCAATTTGACACGTCCGAGTTCTCGAAGCAGGTATACCTCGCCGATGTGAAAGTTTAAACAAGAGAGGAATGGATACTATATTTTTTAAGACATCTGTCATTAATATTTATTTATATGGCATGCTCATGACATGTGATGGCAAACAGGTTTTTGATAATAGCGCAATGAAAGATGGACCACCTTCAGTCAAGGTATCATCATAAAGTGTATTTAGCTAAAACTACACATCACCAGCTAGTTTAACGCTCTTGCAGCACTGTATACGTTCCCTATTTGGTTGCTTTCCTCTTCTTGCTACTGGCGATGATCTCGATGAATATCGAATTCTTTGTTTTCTTTCTTTGGTTCAACCTAAATATGGTGTCACCTGTCCGACAGTCGTTCTGAAAAATCACGTGCCACTGTTTTCTTTATGCTAACAGAATCTATTACTTCGGTTTGCAGGCTAGCCAGAATTTAACACGATATCGCTGGGATCCGACAGAAAATCCTCCGAATGAAATCGAGGTCTGTGAATCCTTTACCATGTTAGTTCTTAACAAGGGGATAATCTTGAAGTGACTGTATTGCGCAAGTATTGAATCATTTTGCAGTGCATGACGTCTACTGGATACTCATTTCGTCTGATGGTTGACCGGCTACAGGCAATTCAAAGAATAGCAATGTTTCCACTGCCAAAGGAGGGCATGGATTTGACCGACATTATGGCAATGGACAAACCTGTGACAGTCTACAAATATCGTGTGCGATTTGCACGTGACAGTAACCCCTAATTGATCTGCAATACTAAACAATTCGTTCTAGAGATGCTAATGCCAGACTTCAGGTTGAACCGATGAGGACTAGACAAGGCAGACAACATTAATAGAAAGGACAATGTAGGCAAAATTCAGTTCATAAAAGGTCAGACCATGAGCAGTGCAGTTCAGTGCCACAAGTAGATTCTAAATTTCCCAGAGAAATAAAACTGCTTCAAACTGTTGTAAAAGAGAGGCACGCAGACGTTCCAAATGTCATCCAACTAATCAACAGTAATGGAAGTTGCGGTCCAACCCCACATTCCACTACAACTACAAAAAAATACAACACGCTAATCTCTGAACAATAACAAGACAATAATCATTATATCGTACATGTCCATACAAACAAAAAACATAACAACCGGAAACAAAACGAAACTTGCAGATTATAACGTCCAACTTCAAATTATAAAAACTTCAGCTCCCAACTCCTACGATAATCTATGTAGTGTTCACTATTAACCTACCGCTAACATGCCCAACCAAGTAAGTTGCACAAACCTCCTAGCCAAGTGAAAAAATACCGTGGAGGTGCAACCCAATTGTGTCGCTTCTACCCTGATGAAGTCATATACTCGAGAACAAGAAGCAGAAGCAGTTCAATCTCCTTACAATAACATTCACTGTTCCTCGTCAATCAGTTCAGAGTCCAAAGGGGTGTTTCCAGCACCTTTCGACATTGCAACAGCAAATTAGGATCAGCTTTGATGGTGTAAAAGTGGGCACCATCCCCAGAGGAGGAGGACCAATCAATAAAATTGCCATCGCTCACTCTGAAAATTAGAGCAAGGCGACAGAAATGACAGTTCAATACTTTCACTTCACTTCCCGAAGAGATGCATATGGGTTCAAACAATGATCATAACCTCAGTGCCTTCCTAACCCTACATCATAGTCTTATTCGCCCACAGTCATGCCGAACCCAAACTTGTAGTCCTTTTTCCAGTGATCGATCTGGCATCACAAACCAGGGACAGTCAGTATTCCTCCTCCATCAGAAAACAGAAAGGGTTTCTTGTGCAGGTCTCATCCGTGATACTATCGATGCAAGTCATGTGCAAATACACGCTGCCACTCATTACTAACCCAACACAAGACCCAGTACAACACACAAACTGCTCTTTGGGATATCTATAAACATCTTCAAAACCCGACTGCTGCCGGGACAAATCGTCCAACGGTCGCCCAAAAGAGGCTGGAACACTAACCTCCGCAGAAAGCAAGAAATTGACACCAAGGTTAAGTCTCTCCTCAAGATAAGCTGCGATACAACCATTTGTGTCCAACCTTCCCCTCAAACGGCACTGCAAAATCACCCAAAAATACATGAAGCACAAGGTCGAGAATGTCCAAGTCATATTCGGCTAGTTATAAGCTAACGCTAAAACACACGCAAACTGGCCACAGAAGATCAACAGCAACTGGGTGCCACACTCTGCTTCTGCTTTCCATACACCGTCTGAACGATACAGCCCATACCATGGACGCATATGTTTAAAAGCGTCTCACCTGACGAAGGAGGTAGTCGTATCCAACACTAGTGGTTGCCTCCTTTGAATTCCAGTTATACAAGAAATCCGATGCCAAAGATACCTGAAGCGTCAGAACAGCGTTACTTTATGGACTACCCACCGATAGTTCTGACACATGGAAACATGCAAAATGGCCAAACGAGGATGAACTGACAAGAACAAGCACCTCACACCATAACCCAATTTCCATGTGGGCTTGACCATGTCATTTTGCAAAGCCGGCATAGTACTGAGCGAGAAATCAAAAGTACCTTGTCTGACACTCGTTGAACATAGGTCAACGAAACGATGCCAGTGCTTGCAAATTGCCCCGTTGCCACCTGGACAAACAGACACTCTTAGTGATCGACCTCCTGGGCCAGCGGACCATGACCACACAGAACCATTTAAAGCAGACATTCTAAGTGGACAACTTAGGATGCTACTCGCCAGAATTTGCTACTGAAGCTGGCACCAAGCAGAAATGACCACTGCCGTTAAAAAGAGCTCTAACGGTTCCTAACAGCAGCACCCGAAGTTAAGGACGGTTATCCATACCACTTTGTCTGTGTTGTATCGGCCAGCAAATCCAATGCCCGACTTCCGCTGATGGCCCAACCAAAACACTTCACCTCCCAGAGCCACTGTTGGCGTTACACTCTGCTTCCCAACCACGCCATATTCTATGAGCACAGGGATAAAATCTCGTGCCTTGCCAAGAGTGCAACTAACGCTGGCATAAACACTGATCAAATAGGTCACATATGAGGTGCAACTGTCCAACCCGGAGGCGTTATGAGCATCATGCCTAGAGCTGCTCGGCACATCCTATACATTTGTACCTCCCAACACCATGAAATCTCAACCCAAACATGATTCTCACGTGTTCCAAGCAGAAAGCAACCAAGGTCAACAGACAAACTCCGGGCACTGAACCTGAATATAATTGAACCCGTAAAAAGCATTGTTGCCTAGCTGTAATTGAGTCTGATAATCTTTCCCCTGCACATATCATTCAAGCGCAAATACGCCGTTAATCTCAAGGCAAGTTGCCGAAACCATGCGGACAGTACATGATACAGTGGCCCCCTCGACCAAAAAGCAACTTCACTGTCTCCTCCAATCCAGCTTCCCGCAACTCCAGTTCCAGAAACCAGGTCGACGACATGGCACAAAACGATGCAAGGTAATGGAACCAACCCTGTAGTCGAAATGGAACATTCCTTGTGAAAAGTGCGGTTCATTTGTAAGCTGTAACACCAATGGAAAGAGGCAAGCAGTTAGAGTCAGCACGTGACAAGAAGAAGAATCACCATAACTGTATTTCCTAGCGCAAATGCCACTTGTACGCACGCACCAGTGTCGGTATCGTACCAGCAAAATATCACATCCAAAATTAAGTTCCGCCCTAACGTCTTCTACAATTCCCTGGCTCAGTGTCCACATGAACTTTGTGCCCAACAACGAGACCAGAGAATGCCTATTCCAGAGAATTCACACTTGGGCGAACTTGATTACTATCAACGCGGCACCAGCCAATAGTCAAAAAACTAGCGAGTTGCGAAGACATCTCATCATTTACCTGCGCGTTCACTTTTACTGAAAATCTATCGGTGAAGTCATACTTGATTCGAGCGCTCATACGACCGTCCGTCAAAATACGCCCAATAAGCATCATCATCTGAGGTCACACAAGTCTCAACACCATCAACTACAGGCCACCGGATGTGCTCAACAACGGACGGATACGTTTCAAGCCACCGATCTCATCGAACATAATTCCCACGATGCAAGTGCAAGTGCGAAAGGGTGAATCGGTTGTTGCAGGCATCGAGGAGAGCAACAGAGGGAAGGCGAGAGTATGACCCGTTGGTCGATAAGGTTTGCTCCGAACTCATAATGAGCCGCTGGAACTTTGATGATCTGCGCCCCTTGGGATGGCACCTCCACTGAGCCCATAAACAAACTGCAACAATCAACAAGGCTGATCAAGTACGCTTTGCACACGCAATAGAAGCCCCACAGAAATCATTTCAGCTTCTCAACAATCCCCGGCATTATCCAGCGAATGACGGAATCCGGATGATGAGTTCAACGTCATCAAACAGCTAGAGCGAGTGCTCTGACCCAAATCAGCCGTCCTGGCAACTACGAATTCAGGTTCATTGTGTCACTTTTTCCAGAAAGGTTAGTCTGGTGCATACACGCAGGTCATTCCCATCTCGGACATTCCTGAGTTTGCCCAACGTTGAGAACGGTCCCATAAACTCCGATGCTGCTAGAGACACGACATAAAGCTGACCCTCGCTGTGAAATTGAGGACAAGAAATAACAGACTCCGACCTCACAGAGACAGCGGACCCCAACGGAATACCAATTCATGGCATGAGAGATTGAACCTTCTTTTAAACATGCCGCTGGTGGCAACACATACGTCCGCTACCAAGCAATTATCGGCAACATGGCTAAGATGTACTCACATAAATTTTCCACCCAGAGATACCGGACTCCTCACCTGTGACTTAGTGAAAACCGTTGATTGAGTGGCTTTGTGAAGTCGAATCGAAGGCCCTCGAACAGCTCCGGCTTAAGGGACACTAGAGATCCAGAAGAGATGCTGTTAGCAAATATAACAAATCATGCTTGGAACTAGAGCGAAAGTTGTCACCAAACATGGCAATGCACGCTTCGGAAGCTGGCAAAACTACCCAGAAAGAGAATCTGATAATAGGTGAGGCTATTGGAATTTGCCCAGCTAGCTCCTCGGTCAGCCTTAGAGCTCCAGCTAAAGCTACCTCGCCAGTACAAGCGATTCGGTTCTGAGCTAAGGATTCTTTTTTCCTTTTTTTGTTCTTCTTTCCAAATTAAAAAACAAACCCCTTGAAGTTGCGAAATCTCGCCGGGACTCGAACATGCACGCAAGGTTTGACAGCGTCATAAAACTCAAAAATTATAAAATATGAAAATAAAAACAAAATCCGCAAGCGACGGAAAGGGTGAATTTCCGCTTTTCGACGGGCGTTCCCCACGGAAACACCACGAAACCAAGCAATGCTGTGCACCAGGGGGTGGAAGGAACGGAGAGAGGCCGTAACGACCTAACATGAGGGAGTGCGGCAATGAACACGGAGGTGGCACGGAAAGAGGTCGAGGAATAAAGAGAAGAGGAGACTTACTAATGTTCTCGCGCTGGATTTCATCATATTTGACGGGGCAGGGCAAATTGAGCCAGTCAGGAGAAGGGGAACGATCAGGGGAGGGGGAATCCGATTTGGCGAAAACGGCGCCCATGGTGGAGGAATGGGCGAGAGGGAGGTGGAAGGGGTCGGAAGCGGGGAGCGGCGAGGGACGCAGCGGGCGATCAGCAGGTGGAACGAGGCGAGGAGGACATGACCACCGCAGAGATAAACCCTAAACCCAGAGGGGCAGGGCGGAGGAGGAGGGAATGATCCAGCGGAGGTGGGAGGGTCAAAGAAAAGGAGGGCAAGGAAGGCAGTGCCAAACAGAAGACAATGTGTGTGGGGTTCCGGGGCAGGGGAGGGGAGCGGGCGTACAAGTGAGGCAGTGAGGCAGTGAGGCAGCGAGGGACGGAGCGAGCGAGCGAGCATGCGACAGAGGAGCCTGATGCGGCGGGGGGGCCAAGTCACCCATTCTCGTTCTTGTTGCTGGGTCACCATGTCACTCCCACTCTACATCGCGGTGGTGCCCGTGCCATCGCTAGGTTTCTGCCCTCCCCCCGCTCCTGCTGTTCGCTTCGCCCTTCTCTCACTCACTGCCCCCTCCATACCTGTCACTGACTTACTTTTAGGCCCCACGCACCTTGTTGCTTCATGTTCTAACCAGTAGCAAGTCTACAGAGTTCCTCCGGTTCATGGGTTCATGGATTCATTTGAGCCTTTACAAGGAAGTGCTTCATTCAAGAAAACACACGATGAAGGAATGAAACGAACAAAGGACGTAAATCAGTCCTCTCATTGGTCAAAGATTTATTTTTATTTTATCAACTAGAGAATTAACTTCTAGTTGCATCAGATGTCCTCAAAGCAAGAAAGCGTTGGTATCTTACAGGTTTGTTTCCTGTAGAGTTTTGTAAAGAATTGGATCATCATTACTTTTTATGGAACTTATTGGTAGAAGAAGATGTGATGGTATAGAATGTTCATAAGTTGCAAGTGCTCATTATTATTTGATATGTATACTTACACTCATGTTTATGTTTTGTTTTTTTACTATGTGTACTCTATTATTATAGGCATATAGACTTATATATATATACGTATAGATTTATATTTGTTTACATAATTATTTGTGGAAATCCTGAATAGTTTCCTAAATTTTGTTTATTTTTTATTTTACTTTATTTTTAATGTCTCAAATTGGAGTATTGAGATTGTTGTATTGAGTAAATAAATTTTGGAGATTAGTATTTTTATAGTGTGAATGTAGCAATGTTATCATGCTATTTAATTATATTGTTAGTATTTACCACGTGATAAGAGTATTTTTTATTTATTGTGTAACAAATTACTCAAATTCATTGGCTTTTGTCTTTTCCTTTAGAAGAAATGTAATTTGGGAGAAGAAGTTTTTGTTGTGTGGATTGATTTTTACCGTCTCTGTTGAAACCTGTTGTAAGACTTTTGACTTTAGTGTTAATGTGTTATGTGTTGATGATGAAATGGATTAGAAATAGATTGTTTTGGTGTTTGGACCGCGACGTGGAAATGCAGCAGGCAGAGTGGCGGGAGTGATGAAAAGGGATTTCAAATGAGTGAAAGTGGATGTGATTTAACTGCCAGAGATTGAAGGTGGGAGGGGGAAGGGTTATGTTCTATCCTACAGCAACTTGACTCCACTTTCTTTCTTGTATTAAAATTGCGTTGTCCAACTTATATGCTCCACTTGCTGGCTCGTGCTAGATTGGATTGTTTCACTCCATCTTTTTACTTGTTATCACATCTGTTGCAGCAGACATGGCTCCCACATGTGCATCACCGTCGTCGTCTTTGTGTCAGCCTTGCTGGACAATTGTCACCTTCGCTTATTTCGTGCCGTGCTCTGGGTGTTGGCTTGTCTCCGGTGCTCCTCTTTCTCTCCATCTTATTCACCCTTTCCTCCGATTCCTCTCCCCAAATTTCCGCTGCCCCCTGGACTTCCCCCTCCACAGCCTCTCTATCTTCATGCCCTCCTCTACAAATATTTCCACAGCTCCCTGCCTCTCCGCCGGTTTTTTTCAAATTCGTTTCGATCAGGTAAGTTCTCTTACCTGAGTTCCCTTTCCTATCCTTCATGTCTTCCTCAGCTCCTGGTCATCGACACTGTATTAACCTTCAACCCTCTCAACTTCAGAAGCGCAAATTTGTAATTCGGTTCGAATCTGCATCACACCTCACTGATTGCGTCACTGTTCTTCAGGCACGTCCACTGCACCAGCTATTTTTATTCCTCTTATAATCATCTTCCTCCCGGTTAATGAGTCTTACTAAGTTTTGGAGGCAATTCTGCTCATGTTCTCTCTCCCTCTCTGCAGTCGGCTACCACATACGGAGATCTCTGGAATTTCCCTACCCTGGATCTTGAACACGATTGCCACGGCCTTCGCGCGCTCCTACCTACAGTGGCTCAAGAACAGCGGCAGAATGACTGTTCCTTGTTACGGGAGTACTCTGAACAAGCTCCTGTAGTGAACAGTGGACCTCTACCGCCAAGCACAATCGAACTAAATGCTGCTGCTGTCTGCGATTTGAACACTCAGAGAGTTGCGCCAAGACTCAAAATGAGACGCAAAATCTGCAATTCTTCCACCTCAAAGTTTTTTCCTGTGACTCGGTGTCCAACCGCACCAACAGCAACCATGAGTAGCTCTTTATACTCAGCACCTAGATATTCGCAAAATCAGAACGACGTTCTTCGGTGGCAGATGCGCGACAAAGACCCAGGAACTTGCCAAGTCGAAGATCGACAACAGTCTAGCTGTGGAGATGTTGTGGATGGCCGTGTAAGCGAAGAAGTTGTGGTTTCTATTCCGACCATTTCCCCGGTTAATAATGGTTTGAATTGGTCTCAGAATCCATCATTCAAGTCGTCAGAGTGCGATTTGGACATAAGGACGACGGCAGATATGTTCAACATGCATGCATCCGAAGGTCTGCAACTTGTGCAAATTTCTCCTTCCAGTTTCACTTTAAGGAATCTCCAAATCATTGTCGTAATTTTACCAAAAGTTGATCAAATTAATTGACCCTTTGTACATTCACGTTTGCCTTGGTTCTTTCTTCCATTATCATGTTCCCTACTTTCGAAACATATGATTGCATACGCTGTCACTCAAATTTGCAATAACTGAAAAGCAGTTCAATTTGTTTTCTGATGTCGTTCGACAGATTCAGAATTTGGCGACCTCCCAGATGAACTTTTGGTACATACTACATTTTATGTTGCTGCTTTTAAACAGAAGCTGCTGGAAATCAGAGCTACTAAATTTTCTTGTCTCGCATTTACCTGCGAGTTATTACAGAATTTGTAGGCTGCTAGAAGAATGTAAACAATGGCTGTGAATTGGAGCATTCTCATTTTCTGGTATTGTGGCACTAGGCAGCATTGTGTCGAAAAACATTGACCTGGTGACGTGACATGCAGGGTTGTCTCCTGGATCCGTCCTTCCGATGTAAGTTTCTGACAGTGACAAGTTTCAACGATGTTTTAAGACTAATTTCATCAAAAATGAGAAACTCGGAGTCAAGGTCAATTTGTATGCACTACGTGTTTCATTTCAGAAAGAGCAACATAACTCTTAACATGGTCTTGCACCGCTTTCTTTCCATATTTCTCTTGCTTGGAATGTCTTACATGACTAATCCATGTTCCTGGGTGGTACAGCCCTTGTGGAGAGTGTCGAAGGAATACTTGGGGATATCAATAACCCCGCAAACATTGATTTGATAACTGTTGCTGATTTTTTGGCGCTTCGTCCATGAGGATTTGTTGTCAAGATAGCCGTACGGGTTGAAATTACGGCCTGGCTTTCGACATATTTCAGTAGTTTCTGTGGAGATATAAACCAATTTTTCTCGAAAGTTCTTGGGCAACTGGCCTTCGCTGAACGATTTAGATGTAAGTGAACCATTGGAATTATTTTCTAGCTAAAAGTGTGGAAGCAATGAATGATTACCAGAAACAATTAGCGCAAGGTTTCGGCGTGATGCCCGACACAATGTTAGTTACATCTAGGAAGCTCACATACATAGCTATCTGCCACATGACATCCTTTAGCCAACTATTTCCAGGAAGCTCACATACATAGCTATCTGCCACATGACATCCTTTAGCCAACTATTTCCACAGTCACTGCAGACATTGGCTGAAGCGCGTCAAGAAATTGAAAGATGTAACCAATCAGTTGGATCAGCTGAAGCGGATTTACGATCATGGCATTCATTTCAAATTAGAAGGCTTCACCCCTGAGCATTAATGAGAAATAGAAAACATTGCTTTTTAACATTTACAATGATTGTAATACAAATATGTATTGAAACATAGAAAGCATACTCCACACAAGTAAGTTAGGACTAGCAAGGTTGCACTATAACAAATAGAGTGTGGTATGAGATAATTCTTCCCATGCCAACCCTTTCTTTATATACTAGTACCAAGGTACCAAGTGCTACAATCCATATGGGATATCTCCTAGGACTAGCCCTCCCCTTGTACTCTAATGTACTATAGACCAGCATCCTACCTTATGGGATGTCCTTAACAACACTTGTTCTCTATTGACCATTAGCAACTACTTAAAGAGTTCTTTTCTCAACAATATGTAGAAATATGTGATCATGATTATTAATCAAGTGCTATTTTTTATTTGATGTGAGTGTTTGTCAAACAAGTGACACTTCTACAACTCAAAGAAGGGCACTAGAGATTTTACAGAGTTTATAAGATGTTTTAAAAACAATGCACCTAAAATATTGCTCCTATTGAAAAAAGAAGATATAGATAAAATGCAATAAATGTTTAATAATATGAAATATTTGATCTTTGTTTCAAGAAAATTGTCATCTATTTTGTAAGAAATCAAATATTGAAAATGTAATTTAAAATTTTAAAGGGTAAATTTAATATGATATGGTAGAATAACTAATCTAAATATTTTACAAATAAGTTCATACACCAATAAGAAAGATATAAATGTATTTATCATATTAATATTTTATTAAAATCACATTATCATAATCTAAAACTTGATGTATAATCTAATATATACATATAATATACATATAAAATCCAAAATAAAAAATAGTTATATATATATATATATATATAGAAAGAGAGAGAGAGAGAGAGAGAGAGAGAGAGAGTGACCTCTCTATTACATAAAATCTTTAAAGATTTAATCTCGCAAATTAATTCTTCAAAAGTTTTAATGATCTAATCAAAAGCCTTAAAACTTAAATTATTAATTCAATCTATTTTATAATATTAATAAAATTATATTCTTTCATTACAATTATTTTTTACATTCACAATTAATAATATCAATTGATGTACAAAATTATAAGTCAAATTCTGAAAATGATTTTATTCAAAATCTAAAATAAAAAATTACTAAAACAAATCATAATACTTAAAAAAAAAAAAATCTATAGTATCAAAGTACTTCTAAATCAATTTGATAATAAATTTAGATTTTAAAATAAAATATTCTTATTCATGGTTTAAAAGTAAAAACTTTTATGTAATATAATATAATATAATATATGCAAATTAAGTTTAAAATATTCAAGAAATACAATCTATAGATATAATAATCAAAGTTTAGGATTTAGAATTATAAGATTATATGAAGGCGTTTTTATTTTTTTATGGTTTTTGATACTTTTAAATTGAATAATATTTTTAAATTAAAAATATATACATTAAAGAATTATTTATAAGATTTTATTTTTGATATTAGATTTTATTTTTATTATGAGTTATTTTGTCTTTTATACCAAGCTAGTTATCATCATGGAACAAAACCTAGATGTGCAAATAAAATAAAAGAGAATCTCTTTATATTAATATGAGATTTATGATTGTAATTTTAATATTTTTAAAAGGTGAATAAAATTCACAAAACCAAAAATTAAAATCACTTGTAATATAATAAATCATTTATTATAATATCACCATATCAAGCATCAAGTCATAGAGGATAACCATAATTAATAAAAAAAGATGTTTTTTGAATAAAAAAAATATATCATATTATTATCAACAAACTCTGCCAGTGGTAAAAGAGTTGTCTAATTATTTTGTTGATTGTTGATGGTTCACCTCAAATATTGCTCCAAAACTTGGTTTATACACTTTGTTTTTTTATCAATTTGAAGTTAAAAAGCCAAATATAGCTTTATGTCTATCTATAGAATTTTAAAAAGAATTCTCTAAAATCTTGATATTAATTTAGTCATCCTATTTAATATAATATCCTTGGACAATCCATGATAGTAATAGATATTGTTAATAAAAAAAAATTATTATTATTATTATTATTATTTACATATGATAGATTTGTTACATAGTACAAAATATGCTATCTTAATAAAATGATCTATTATTATAAATATAGAACCATATGAACTTGAGACTGGAAGATCCATCATAAAATCTATAGAAACAAAAGACCATAGTTGTTCTAAAATAGATAAAGAAATTCATAAGATCAATGATGAGGAATTTTTTGACTGTAACAAACGTCACATGATTGCACAAAGTCTTTGATTATCCTTTACATTTGGAACGACCAAAAATCTTTAGATATTAGCTTGAAAGTCTTATTATATCCAAAATATTATGACCAACTTAAAGAATATGTAATTCTACTTTATATTTTAGAATATATAATCGTCTTTTAAAATAGTATATATTATTTTTAAATTCTAATTTAGAAGTATCATGAGATTTAAAAGAATTATTTTTAATATCATGAATAAGAAGATCGAAGGACATATTTGACTAAACTTACTATACAAAATTAAATCAATGATTAATGTTGATTTCATTGCTTGAAGATGAAAATGCTTTGACTTTAAAAAAATTATTCTTTGTTGATCATTAGGTACATCTTCTTTTTTGGATGCAAGATAAAAACACTTAAAAAGAATGTTTAATAAACCTTATGGATTTTTTAGGTCAATAAGTGATCTTGAAATCAAATCTTGATAAAGACATGCTCTAATGGGCTTGGCAACAATTCAAAATACATATTATTTTAAAATACTCAAGATTCTTGTGATCTATACACATGGTGATTGGAATGAAAATGCCTTCTATATAATAGCGACATTCTTAAAATGAATCTATAATCCCAAGATGTTCTATATTGTAGATCTTGTAGCTAATCTTGGTTGCTAAAAATTCTTAGAATGAAAAACTACCAAGTAGAGCTTGTCATTTGCTTCTGTTTGTAACAACACTACATCTATAGCAAAATTTGATACATTTTTTTCCATAAAAAATGCCTTAAAAAATTCAATACAATACAAAATTTGTGTAAAAATAAATGTTGTCTTTAAGGCTTCAAAAGGTGTTTCAACTTCTTTATTCAACTTAAGTTTGTCTTTACATGTCAAATGTGTAACAAGATCCATAACTTGAAAAAAAGTTTTGATGAAGATTTGATAATAATTGGAATTTTTAAAAAAAATATTATGCATCTTTGATTATTTTTGAATTATTTTTAATCCATGATAGTCTAAGTCTTCTTAGAATCCATCATAAGGCCATTGTTTGAAATGATATATCCTAAGAAGCCAACTTGAGTAGTGTGAAATATACATGTTTCTTTCTTAGCATATAATCTTACATTTTTTAATTTTTGTAACATACAACAAACATAAAGCTCATGTTCTTCTATATTATTAGAGTAGATTAAAATGTTGTTTAGATATCAAACAACAAAATCATCAAAAAATTTAGAATAGACATTATTTATTAGATGTTGAAAAATAATTGGTACATTTGTGACTCCAAAGGGAATGACATTATATTCAAAATGCCTATACTTAGTTCAAAACACAGTTTTCTATTCATTTCTTTTTTTTGATATATACTAAGTTATATGTTTCTTATATATCTATTGTTATATAGATAATTTTTTGATTGAATTGATCAAAAAGTTTTAAAATAAAAAATTAGAGATACCTATTTTTTATAGTGATCTTGTTGAATCCTTGAAGTAAACATACATCTATAAAGATCCATCTTTTTTCTTCAAAAATAAGATAGGAGATCTTATACAAGATTTAAAATGACAAATGAAGTTTATAGCTAAGTTCTTATCAATGTATTCCTTGAATGTAGCCAATTCATTTTGTAATATGCTATAGATTAGTCCAAAAGGTGATTGAGGTCATTTTTAAAGATCAATAAAATAATCATAGAAACAATGCTCTAAAAAAACATTGATATTTTTCTTTTCAAAAACATATTGATAATCTTAATATTGGCTTAGAATGCTACTTAAATTCATTTTTCTATCAAAAATAAGTATGGCATATATAGCAAAAATTGACCCTTCTTTTGTAGCATGTATGAAAGCTCTTACACCTACCAATAAAAATTTGGTTGTATTAGACTTATGAATTTTTACTTGAGTAGGAAAATCTTATATTAAATTATGGAAAAAATCAAGGTTATAAAAAATCTAGTCTATTTGAGGGTTTTATTTGTTTAATCATGATAGTCTTAAAATAATTATGTTGGTGGGAGATCTAATGACATTAAATATTACTAAGTTATTATGATCTTTATTTATTACATCTAAAAGAACTATTTCATGAATAATGTCTCCAAAAGATAACAAATGAATTTTTATGATTTCTATACACATAGATATGATTTTCTTTATTAAAGATATTTCTTAATTTTTTGACAAAATCCTTATTTATAAAATAGATAAAGGCTCTTAAATCTAACAAGACAATATTTTTTTTAAATTTTTGGATCCAAAATAAACTTCTATTGTAGAATAAGGTGAAGAATCTGAGGAATGAATAGAATCTTTATTAGATGTTACATAAGATTTTAGTTGCATAGTCTCTATTGTAAAAAAAAAAAAATTACTTTTTAATACATTGTCTTCTTTGGTAACCATGCTTT